CCCCACCACACCCCGATTAGATCTTAGTACGACTATCGTAGTCTAACTTCTAACGTTCGTTTGTCGCAACAATTTGCTTTGCGTAAAAAAAGCCAGTGAACCAGCTAGGTTTTTTGGCTTTAAGACCTTAAAGGTCATACATAGCGTTGTAATATTATACCATTTTCCTTTACATATTCTTCTCTCTTTTTAGAAACTTTGCCATGATTTTACTCTGAAATATTCGAAACAGAATGCACTTTCGAATACGCAACTTCTGGCGCTGTTACTAACAGTTGACTATAAGGTCCCAAAAAAGTCGTATGCACACCTTACTGCCAAATGGTCCATATTTTACTTGCTATTTAGCGTATAACTCACCTGATCTAGTTGACTAATTAAAAACTTTATCCACGGGCCATAGTTTTTAACTGTGAAGAAATATCGAAACCAAAGACAAAAGGAAATGAGCTTGTAAACAATTCGGTTAAAACCTCTTTGATTTTACATTGTGTTCATCGGTTGGCCAAGACTTAAAAGCCCTAGCCAAACAGACTCGCAAGTAGCCGTGGGTAGCCAAACGAACTCGCAAGTTTCCTCGCAAGTACACGCTAGTCGCAAAAAACCCATTTCAAGGCTACATACCTTGTATTTCATTGGTTAATAAGTTGTTATAACAAAGAATGGACGTCACTCAACTTGCGAGGTCTTAGGTTGGGTGGCCAAACGGTGAGAAACTTGCATCTACTTGCAAGCAGATTGATCTCTACCAAGGTGAGCGCAAGTCATCGCAAGTCAACGAAAGTGCATGCAAGGCCTGGCTAAACTGATCGCATGAGACTCACAAGTAGACCCAAGTTTTCAACTTGCGTCTACTTGCGAGTCCGTTTGGCCATGGCTTTTTTGATTATCATTAATTAGTATAATTATCATAATTATGCGCGCAAGAATTCCTCAGGTTAGATCCACAATTGTTGCACGCCTTACCCGTTATGACCATGGAAACTGTAACATTTCTTCTCCACTGAAATCCCTCTGGATAACATAAAACGCTGCTGTTTTCTGCGGTTCTGTACACGTATTCTGATAAACGAACAGAGCGCCCTGAAAATAAAACAAGTTAAGGTGCGGCTGTGAAACTAATCAATGAGGAAGCCGGTCACGAATATGTTACGTTGTAATTTCGTCTTCCTGGTCTCGAGGGGGAAGGGGGAGGGAGGAAGGGTACACGTTCCCTTATAATCCTTAAAAAAAATCGCTTTTTCCTTTTTGTTCCCAATCAATATCCGTTTCTCCTTAACATTTTTGCCAAAGTTCCCGATAGTGGTTTGGATATCCCTTATTCCCTTCAAATATATGACCGTGTTCCTTTGTTCTACAATACCCCTGGGATACCCCTGGGAGTCCCTCTCTATTGGAGTAAACATCAAGTGCTGTTTATCCGTTTCCATTTACTTTTTTGTTTCATCCCTGTTTACATAACACACCATGGAAAGAACAGCCAATCAGAATACAGGAAAATCCTTGAATACTCGATGGTATTACACATAACCTTCCCATCTTGCAATGCATTGATTGTGTTGACCAGTGCAGTTTTTTAGTATACTGACTCACCCAAAGGCTGGTGTGTACTCCGAGAAAGTAGCAGTGACTCGTGGAATATATAAACAATAGCCTCCATTTGGCGCGAAATATGCTAGGACATTTGACCGAGGACATTATCTGTTCCGAGAAACGAACAGTTTTCCGAGAGCGTAGCTCGAGGAAACTTGTGAGCTTCGAGGAGCAAATGATGTCCAAGGACAAATATCCGAGCGTCTTTTCGCCCCAAATAGAGGCCATTGTGTTTATTATCCTTCAAATATTTTTCGCAACGCGTGCAGTTTTGAAAATTGGGGAACATTCTCGGATATTCCCCAGTTTTAGCTGGAGAATATTCGGTCACGTGACGTATTTAGACCAATCGCGCGCGAGTGAAAATATTTGATGGATTACAATCCATGGTATAACATTTGAGAACGTTACATAACTAGTGTCTATTTACGTGTATGTCTACTAACTCATCAAGTCACTGCTCAAAACACTGAAAAATAAGCGTACCTTTCAGTTTGTCCACAAGTTCCTGACAAAATAACGATGCCAACATTTTAGCGGTGAAAAATGCAACAGATCCAATCCAATCAAAGGAAACATCCGTTCTCGCAGATAAAACTACAAATAGTTTCGACTCTAATTTTGTGGATTAATTATAAATGATCTAGACTCTAAGGTAAGAACTCAAGATGGACCATGAGTTATACAACGATTATTTTATTCAATATACATAGTTTTACTTTATTTTTATTTTAATTTTCTCGAGGCTATTTTTGGCTATTCAAAATCTGAGAGAGAATCAAGTTTTATGTATGTATATGTATGTATGTATTATCGTGAGAAGAATGTTTTGTTTTTTCACACAAACGTACCAGCTCTAACAAAAACCGGGTTCCTTTTTTCGGATCATCTTTTGCTTCCACATTGACGATCTCCTTTAAAGAGAATCTGTCCCTGGGATGAAAAAAGGTCCAAAAAAATTATGAATCGTTTACGGGATTCTGCCTTCTCCAACCTGCCATTATAACTGACTCTACAACCTTGTAATGTATTAATCATTCTAACTTTTCGTTTCTCACCCTTTTCTCTTTACAAGTGCGTCCATGTATACAGATACAGTTTTCAAAGCCTCCTGAAAAATATAAAACAACAAGACAACAACAAGATTCCCAGTCAGCCACGCAAGGCGAGATAAAACAGGTCAAACACTCGGAAAACGTCCACCACCTAACCATTCCTGGACTTGTCCGCCCAATAACAAAGAATTTGATTACACTTAATAAACTGTGACGCCTTACACTTTTCGGGAGTTTTTTGTTTCCCCAGCTAATGTGATTTTTAATATCATGTGACATGTTAACATCCGTCCTGTCATCAGGATACACACGTGGATACTGGATCTGCAATAAAAAAATGAATATAGGTTAAAGACTCTGAGTTGCGTACACAACAAACCAAAAATCCTATTTCGGCCCAGTCCGTACGCAGTCTTTTAAAAGAGAAAAGAGGCGGGGGGG